AAAAAAAAACCATATACGTATGTGTATTTATATATATATCTATATATATAGATATATATATATCTATATATATAGATATATATATAGATATATATATATATGCATATATTGTATATACACAGCACACACACACACACACACATATATACATATATATATATATATATATATTAATATGTGAAATAATTTGAAAAGCATAACAAAATATATTACACAGAGGCCTTCATTTTGCAGATTTTGCTTTATTGATAAAGTATTAACATTTATATTTTTTGTGAAAAAACAATGAATTAGACTCCGTATGTGTATATTGCAATAAAATAAAGTAGGTATTTATAAAGTTGGTATCAAACCTCTTTTTTTTTTTTTTTTTTTGTTTGCACTAATGCCTCTTCTTTATTTTTGCAGTGCATATCGAGAATAACATACAAGCGTGAGTTACCCCAACGGCAATCCTCAAGCAAATTAGCAACTTATATAACAATGGGGTATACCAGTCTGCATGCACAATTGTAAATGTATAATTGCTTACAATAGGTTATGTCATATCAGGATAGTCAGAAGACGAAGATAACATTCTAAAACTTAGCTACTGTGGCGAAGCAGGTATAGAAATGAAAAGTAATAGCTAAAATGCCATACGGCATAGGTGAGCGGAGCTACAGTTCTCCCGTTTCTATATATGATACCCTGGAAAGGTAGCACAAGCCATTCTCTCTGGACCCAGCCTAAGTGCATAGCAATGTCAGGATGGTAATAAGGTATTATACAAGTTATGGTAGCTGTAGTTAATAAATGTATAAGGTTCTGAAGGTGGTGGCGGTACTATGTGCTCCTTCGTAATCTAAATTTATTAGTGAGTGCATTGATAGGCTAAGGTAGTAAATGGGCGAGACCATAAGGTGATAGGGCATAATTATTCGTAATGTCTTATATCCTATTTCCGCCTGAAATACCATCAAAAAGGATATATAGAGCCATGCTCTGGTTTAGTTCTATGTGGGCATATAAATCAAAGTTGTCACTCGTGGGGAGGGTGGTGGTGTCCCCGGGAGGCGAATGCTTGTGTCAGAGAATGTGCTAATAATAATAAAACTGCATACTCTAGGGTAGCAACCTGACCTCGGGGTCTGCGTGTATTACAGATGAGGCAATACGTAAGCTATCGTCCGCCGGCATTACCTGAGTGTAAATGGCTAATCAGGGTAATAAGGCAGCGTGTTATCTATATTGACTCTTTGTGTAAGGGTTGTCTAGGCAATGAGCTTACTTTGTGGGTCCTCATGATCCAACTCTGTTATTTAGTGCATTGTTAGGCTATATACTTCAAGATAACATCATAGATAAGCATAGTAACTGTGACGAGAGCAATCTCGCCACATTGCATTGGAGAAGCCTGGCTGCCCGCCTGCTGCCTTTGGGCTATGGACCAGACTTTATGTAAATGTGTTAACCCAAATAGCTATGCCATGGAGCCCATTCATGTAGTTAAAGACTTCGGCTCCATGGCAACTGAACTGTGTGAATAGGATCTGAGCGCTATTCGGTAGTTTTGTGCGCTCAGATCCCAGCTATCTGGGGATATGTGAAATGTCTGTGTGTTATGTGTAAAAGGTGACTTTATGTATTTTAAAGTGTTTTACTGTCTTTGTGTCCCCATGTGCTCAATGGAGTCTGCCTCTATCCCTGGATAATTGGATTACTTTCCCCATTGTCCAGGATACAGGGCTCTGTAAAACCTATTTGAGCCAGATAGCCATGCTGCCAGCCAGGGTATAAAAGATACTTTTTACTTTAAAGACATGATTTGGGCATAAGGGATTTGTGTTGTGCTGCTGCTGGCCCTTTAAGAACCATCTGTGGACATACTGTGGAGTTACTGGGTGGCCACCATTTCCTGTATCAGAGGCACATGGTGAGAACAATGGATGAAGCACATGGTGAGAACAATGGATGGCAGCCATTTTAACTCACAGACACTGTTTGGACTTTTCAACACGGTGCCATCTCGCCAGTGTTTGGTGCACAGAGACATCGTGCAGTGGTTTTGGACTATACAGCAGGGGACACATTATACAGTGATTGTTTTTCATTTAGCCTATATATGTTCTGCAGAATCTGCATTAAACTGTATCTTCCAAAGTACTGAATGGATCTGGGTGAATTTCGGATATGTGGTTCACCCAGATCCCCCGGTTCCAAGGATATATTTTTATGGGGTTATTGCATGTTTTGGGGTCCCTGTGATGTGTTTTATGAAACTGTATTTCTCTGTCTGTGATAATTAGATTACCCATTGTGTAAGGTAATTGTATTACAGGCAGAGGGGAGGATTTTGTGTGGGAGTGTCTGTGTGTATTGTACAGATTGATTGGTTGTTCTGTAAAACCCGGTGGGCAGTACTAAGTTTGTGGATTGGGAATAAAAGAGGCTGTATGTGCCAGTACAGTGAGTTCCTGCTTAACCCTCAAAGTGAAGTGTCGTCTCATTATTGGGGGAGGATTCATTGTATGCTGTTCCAGTTTGACTGCTAGGAGAGTAAACCTATCCGTATGGTTCCTATTCGGCTGTATACAGCATTCATATGCTTGGGAGAATTTATTTGTTTCTCTGGTTCGGTGATTGTGGTGTCTGCCAGAGTGCTTGGAGTCCTCAGGAAGCGCTAGGAGTATCCTTCAACAGTCGGGGTGCCAGGCGATCCGTTACACTGTATTTGCAAGACTGTAATAAAAACCAGGCTGGGTGTGCCAGCACCTCAGACCACTGCTTGACCCTCAACACGGAGCATTGTCTCGTTCTTGGGGGGATTCACTGTATGCTGTTAGAGACTGATTGCCAGGAGTGTAAGCTGATTGTCTGCTTTTCCTGTTCATCTGCTAGCAGCTATTTGGGAGGTTCCAGTTCGGGAGTTGGAGTGCTATTTTGTATCCAGTTTGGGAGTTTGGTGTTCTGCAGTAGCTGTGCCTGCATCTCTGGAAAGGGGGCCGATCGCCTAAACGGTTTTTACCCCTTTTGTGCAAAACGGTCCGTTACAATTGGTGGCAAGCGGCGGGATCGTTCCTACAGCCAGAAGGACAGCTACAGGAGACACCATTTCTTTGGATTTTACAATTTGTGGGCAACGCATGTCTTAGTACAGCGACCCTGACAGCACCAGGATGGAACCAGCAGTGGAGTACAGCTACTCTATGAGAGAGTATGACCGGATGGTGTGGTTTCACCTAAGCTTTTTCGGATCCAACCCACAGGAGAGATCGGTGCGGTTCGTGAGGAACCTAGTGTTAGAGAGGCTGCAACAACGGGCAGAAAGAGAAGGTCAGTTGGCACGTTGGGAGAAACTCCAGCGTCAGATGCAGCAGGGAATTGGGAGCCCAGTCTCCATTCCCCAGCGGCAGTGTAAAGTGCAGGGAGAGGAGAGCAGCGTCCTCCCTCCCCAGTGGCAGGCTGAGTTACAGGGGGCAGAGGTAGTTGTTCCTGCCCCCCAGCAGCCGAGTGATATGCCGGGAAGGCAGTGTGAAGTTCAGGGAGAGGAGAGCAGTGTCCTCCCTCCCCAGCGGCAGCATGATTTTTTGGGAATTGGGAGCCCAGTCTACATTCCCCAGCGGCAGTGTGATGTGCCGGGAATTGGGAGCCCAGTCTCCAGTCCCCAGCGGCAGAGTATCCAGCAGGGAATAGAGAGCCCAGTCTCCTTTCCCCAGCAGCAGGACTCTGTATTGGGAGGAGAGGCAGTCGGTCTCCCTCCACGGAGGCTGGAAGTATGTATGGGAGAGGAGCTTGCTACCACCTCTCCCAGTGGCAATGTGCAGGGAATAGTGAGCCTAGTCTCCTTTCCCCAGCAGCAGAGTGTTCTATCGAGAGAGGAGCCTGTTACCCCCTCTCCCCAGCGACAGCTTAACGTGCCAGGGGGAGACAGTAAGCCCCACAACGGTGCAGATGGGAGCGTGGTCTCTGCACATACCACACAGGGGGTAGGGACTGTCACTCCTGCCCCCCAACAACCGGGCTGTTTAGCCAAAGGGGAGACAGTCGGTCTCCCCCTCCGGCAGCAGAGCTGTGCATCTAAAGGGGAGACAGTCAGTCTCCAGCAGAAGAGCTGTGCAGCTAAAGGGGAGACAGTCGGTCTCCAGCAGCAGAGCGGTGTATTTCAAGGGGAGACAGTCGGTCTCCAGCAACCAGGCTTGAACCAGACTACTCCCGTGGTAGTGCTGGCATCAGGGCAGAGTACCGCTGGTCTCTGCCCACTCAGCAACCCACCAAGGCAGCCTACCAGTCCCCCACACAGCCGTGGTGAGGCACCTGGACATGGACAAGTTTCTCCTCTATCCAGGTGTAGTAACCAATTATTGTGGGTGAGCTGTACTGCTGTTTCTGTTTTGTGGGTGGGCTGCTGGACTAACAAGGGCACTGACTGGCAGGAGGTCAGATACCCTGTTAGTCTGGTTGGAAAAGGGGAGAGATGTGACGAGAGCAATCTTGCCACATTGCATTGGAGAAGCCTGGCTGCCCGCCTGCTGCCTTTGGACTATGGACCAGACTTTATGTAAATGTGTTAACCCAGATAGGTATGCCATGGAGCCCATTCGTGTAGTTAAAGACTTCGGCTCCATGGCAATTGAACTGTGTGAATAGGATCTGAGCGCTATTCGGTAGTTTTGTGCGCTCAGATCCCAGCTATATGGGGATATGTGAAATGTCTGTGTGTTATATGTAAAAGGTGACTTTATGTATTTTAAAGTGTTTTACTGTCTTTGTGTCCCCATGTGCTCAATGGAGTCTGCCTCTATCCCCATTGTCTCCAGAATAGAGGGCTCTGTAAAACCTGTATGAGCCAGATAGCCATGCTGCCAGCCAGGGTACAAAATATACTTTTTACTAACTTTTGAACCCCTGGTCTGATTCATGCTATTTTTTAATATGTTGTTCCCCTGAATGGATTGATTGTGAATATGTAATTTTATGTGAATGTGATGTATGGTTTTAGAGTTATGAAAGTTGGGTAGAAAGTATGTTTTAACTCTATGTGTAATTGAGTTTCCTCTCAGGATAAGGGGAGGGAATATGTGTGATGTAACTGTGATGTGATTGGTTGTTTTATACCTCTCTGTGGGCGGTCCTGTATTTGCAAGACTGTAATAAAAACAAGGCTGGGTGTGCCAGCACCTCAGACCACTGCATGACCCTCAACACAGAGCATTGTCTCGTTCTTGGGGGGATTCACTGTATGCTGTTAGAGACTGATTGCCAGGAGTGTAAACTGATTGTCTGCTTTTCCTGTTCGTCTGCTAGCAGCTATTTGGGAGGTTCCAGTTCAGGAGTTGGAGTGCTATTTTGTATCCAGTTCGGGAGTTTGGTGTTCTGCAGTAGCTGTGCCTGTACCTCTGGAAAGGGGGCCGATCGCCTAAACGGTTTTTACCCCTTTTGTGCAACACGGTCCGTTACAGTAACCAAACTCTAATTCCTGCATTTTGAACTAATAACTCAGAACCTGAGCCAGCCCCAGGAAGTGTAACCTAAGGATTTGTACTTCCAGATTGGTCTGGTATGCCTATTGCAACACACAGGAATGAGGGAGTCTGACTTATGGTGAAGTGGCTCAAACTGGATACAGGCAGAAGTTTCACCAAATAATCTGCCTAGAGTAATGAATTAGTTTGATTTGCACCTGAAATTAATTGCAGTGGGTCCAGAAGTCAATTCACTCAGAAAGGCTTTATGTATATTCTGATGGTTCAGGAGAAACGCAGCACTTACATATATGGGGTGTATGGCTTTAAATCTGCTAGAGGCAGAGTCAAACTTACTACACGCCAAATAATATGCTTTTAGCTCAAAGATTCAAACTGTAAGGGTGATATAGGAAAATGAAATGAGCAACTGTTTCCCATTTGTGATATAAATTGTCACAATTATATACGGTGTATACGTCTTTAAATCTGTTAGAAACAGAATAAGTCGAAGTATATACCAAATGATGTACTTTATGACAAAGATGTAAACTTCATGTAATAGACATACAGTATGTATGACTGTATTCTGTAAGTCAATAAATAACCGTATCACTTTAAAATGATAATAAAAATGTTTGGATAGATGAGTAGATAAAATTAATACAAAGTTTATTAAGCATAATGGTTAAATTAAATAAAAACACTAAAAATATATTAATATTTGAAAAATATACGTTCCTGGCTCATATTTTTCAAATATTAATACATTTTTAGTGTTTTTATTTAATTTAACCATTATGCTTAATAAACTTTGTATTAATTTTAGCTACTCATCTATCCAAACATTTTTATTATCATTTTAAAGTGATACGGTTATTTATTGACTCACAGGATACAGTCATTCATACTGTATGTCTATTACATGAAGTTTACATCTTTGTCATAAAGTACATCATTTGGTATATACTTCGACTTATTCTGTTTCTAACAGATTTAAAGACGTATACACCGTATATAATTGTGACAATTTATATCACAAACGGGAAACAGTTCCTCATATCGTTTTCCTATATCACCCTTACAGTTTGAATCTTTGAGCTAAAAGCATATTATTTGGTGTGTAGTAAGTTTGACTCTGCCTCTAGCAGATTTAAAGCCATATACCCCATATATGTAAGTGCTGCGTTTCTCCTGAACCATCAGAATATACATAAAGCCTTTCTGAGTGAATTGACTCCTGGACCCACTGCACCTCAGGTGCAAATCAAACTAAGGATTTGTACTTGTTTAAAGCGAAAGAGAAAAAAGAATAATACATTTAAGTTGAAAAGAAGTAGAAGGTAAAGTTCTGGACTCTCGGCGGAGTCAAGAATGGGGTGTATGGAGTACGTGAAGACTCTCGTGTGAGCTTCGGAGTAGGTTTCCCTCTAAGCTCCCTTGGGTCTGTTGCTGTGCACGTGTACCCAGGCGTTCCATCACGCCAAAGTAAAAATGGGTTAGGTAGTTAAATCAATTGCTAAGATGACATGTGCAATGGTCTTTCCTTCATGCTTGTGTCCTGTCCCATGCACAGCAGAGGGAGCAGCAGGCGGAGAGTGCACAGGCAGGAGACCACCAATATTCACCCCCACGGGACACCCCGGGGCCCCCGGCTATCCGTCAACAGTTCCCAAGGCCACACCAGGCCTCCAGACGAGAGTCTCATAGCTCAGCGGGCACTCGGAAACCCGACAGTCTAAAGTCCATGCATTGGGCATCTCCTGCACCCCCACCGCACCACAAGATCTCCAGCTGGGTAAGATGCAGGCCGTCAATTGTCTCTCCCAATTGTCTCTCGGCTGTCCTCGCAGCTACCGGTCTGCTGGAGGCCTCTATTTTCGTATTCCGGTCCCCCAGGGCTCACGGCTTTGGGGACAAGTTCATCCAGGTCCCCCTCAAAACCTAGGTGTGACGGATCCACACTCCCAGCATGGCGCAGACTCGGGGTCCAGACTTCATGGCAGTCGGATCCACGGGTGCCGCGGTAATTGCATGTCAGGTCCCGCCACCCATGCGCAGTGCCTCCGGCGCCCCCTTTGTCCTCCAAGTGCCAATGTAGCACTGGTGTGCGTTCCTTGCTAGATGGAGCGGTCAGGTACAAGGTGTATGCAGGGCTCGCCACGGGAGTAAAGTTAGCAGTGACAATGAATGTGTTAAACAGGTGGCCAGGATAAGCCCCACCGGCCTCGGGGGGGAGCGGGACTGGGGTTCATACCCTCGCAAGGCTGTTACATCTACGCATCTGTGTTGCCACTCAGCAATCAGGGTGGCTTAGTTTGAGCCTAGAGGCCCCCTATAGACCCGTCGGATCCAGTCCACCATTGTAAGCGTGGGATGTAGGCCTGAGATGATCGTATAGGCTTTTCCTAAGGTAAGTCGGTAGCAGACGGGCATCAGTTGAAAGCAGGGGTATTCCCCTGTGTGCTTCTGTCATGCAAGCCGGTAAAAACTTGAGGAAATTAACTAATTTTGTGGGGGGTTTTTCGGGTCCCCTGGCAGGAGCTCTCAAAGATGGCTGCCGATCAGTTCCAGGGTCCAGCCCCGCCCCCCCTGCAATAAATTTTAATGCACAGGTCATAAACCATAGTACATCTCCAGTCCTTAAACATTTTAGGATTTATTTACTAAACAGTACATTTTGCTAAATTTTATAAAAAATAAAAACACTTTAATTGCTCCATTGTGAAATTCTTCATTTCAGCACCTCTTTCAGATTCACTATTTTGGCGTAAAAATTGCAGTGTACTTTTCAATTCACCCTAAGTCACATTCACAGAGGATTATTCACAAGGCACCTGTAGCGGAGAGGCAGTATAATCCACGATATCTCCGCTGGGTAACAGGAACAACAAAGGATAATCCAGGGAATCAGCATACAATAATCCAAACAGCACTGCAGTAACCCTTCCTTCCCAAGAACTAGACGACACATAGGCTGGGAGTCAACTGAGGTCTTTTAATTCAGTTCCACAATTTATACAAGTCCCCATGCAAGGGGTTTCCTGAGTCCCCTCCCAGAGGAATTCCCAGAGGGGACTACATGGGGGACTTACGATACAGGACATTTCTCCCATCAGGCACTGCTGCACGAGAGGGATCCTCCCACTGGAATATACCGTTAAGTGGATTATCCCTCCGTGCAGCAGAACTCATAATTCATATTAAATTCAATAACTTCACGAATATCTGGGTTATTTAAACGAATGGACGTTCGGTAGATAGCTGGGGTCTGTGTCCATCATTCGTGAGATTAACGCTCAGATCCCAGCTAAAACAACCGAATGCCGCACGAAAAACACATTCACTAACACATAGCCTGAAAACACCGATTACAGATAAGGGAATAAAATACCGAATGTCCTGGACCTCCCGAACGGTCTGGAGGTTCAGCGGTGTTTGCGCCGTCGAGTAGCCGTTTTTAGTACCACACGCTCGACGACCAAACACCGCTGAGGGAACAAAGGATCCAAGATGGCCGACCGCCGCATGGTCGGTAGTCGAACGGCGGCCACCCAGGAGAGCCTCTAATTACCGATTACAACAATGTTGCAATCGGTTAATAGGCGCCACACGCCTCTAAGTGTGTGGGCTATTAAAGGATATCTCGTTCGGTTCCCGAACGGCCCGCAAAGGTGCCATTCGTGAAACGAAGGGGAATCGGCTATCTGCGTTCGGCAGATAGCACAGGCAGGCAATACATCATTAACATTGCATTACAATACACGCTGGAACACACAATAGGAACCCCATACCGGCAACCCTTAAAGGGACAGTACAGCTGTATTTAATAATGTCCAAGTGGCTAGGTTTGCCACAGCACCAAAACGCAGTAAATTTATAATTGCTAAATTTAGGCTAAAATAACCAATCTCAAGTGGATTATTTACAAAAAGTGGGAATCCTAAGGGAGTTCAAAGTGAACTGCTAATTTAAGGCCAGAGTAGCTGTGACGAAGTGCCCTTCGCCACTTTGTCCTGGAGAGGCCTGCTTGCCTGCCTCCTGCCCTGCGACTATGGCCCTGGGATGTATTGCCCTTCTAGGAACTGATGTGGGTATATTGGAAGCTTATATTGCTGTTTCTGGCCCTTTAATGCCCAAAGAAAGGATTTGTACTTTTAAACTGGCACTTCGGATGCAGTCGAAGTGCTGAAGCAGTCGAAGTCGTTGAAGTGTTGAAGTTGTCGAAGTGGCCGCCATTCGAATACCGAACACATGGTGGCGGCCATTTTAACTCATTCAAACGCGGTCAGCGGTGTGTGCAGCCAAGTCTATGGAACTGTTTTCGGCTACCCAATTGCACTAACACTGCTGACACGTACGTTCTACTCTACTTCGACACTGAGGCTGGAGACGAAGTCCCGTTCGAAGATTCAAACGCGCGTTCGAATGGGACTTCTCGGTGTAAAATAGACCGTCCGCACAGCCCAAATCCATGGAACTGTTTTGGGCATGAAAATGTGCCTGCGGTCAGTCAATAGTGACTTATATGTATCTCCTGAACAGATTCGAATGATTTTTGGGTATGTTTGTATTTGGAATGTGCTGATTAATAATATTGGATGTATGGTTTTAGAGTTATGAAAGTTGGGTAAAAAGTATGTTTTAAAAGGTACGGATAATTGGGTTACCTCTCAGGCTAAGGGGAGGAAATGTGTGGGATGTAACAATTGTGTGATTGGGTATTGTATAATTGTCCGTGGGCGTCTCCCTTGCAGGGGAGAATTGCATAAAAGCAGAGTGTGTGTCATTAAACCTCAGATCCTGTTTGAGTCCCAATACGTAGCCTTGTCTCGTTATTGGAGGGAGCTGCTATAATCACACTGGGGATTGCTATGCTCTGCATACTCCCCTCAGCTTGAATCACTTAGCTCTTTTAAGAGCTGTTCCTGATACGCACTCCTGGAGAAGCTGATCCAGGGTGGACGGAAGACGGCGAGGCTCCAGTTAAGCTACGGCAGTTGTGGAGTCTGCGGTGGTTGTGGTGTCCAGTGCGGTGCTTGTGGTCCTCGGCGCAAGCTAGGAAGCGTCCATTAACGGAAGGTTCCGTTACAGTAGCCAAACTGAAATCATAGCTGACTTGTCTTTGTTTAGAAGTGGTCATGGTGGTAGGAGTGTGTATGTGCATCGTTTTATTATTATTTTCACTTTTGTGCTAGTGACGAGTTGCACCCCCCCGCGCACACATGATGTAGGCAAACTGGAACTGCCTATTGTCAATTCTGTGCAAAAATTCTTAGTTTCACCCCTCGCAGGCAGTGCTGGGCGGGTGCCTGCAAGGGACAGCTTGATCTCTCCTTGCTCTGTGCGCTCCCTTTCTTCCTCCCTCTTGTGACAGTCATTATTATTGTTTTTTTTAATTATACCCTCCACACTTCCTTCCCTTGTCCAGCCCCCTTACTCCCTCCCTGCCTCCCCTCCCTCCAGGAGAAGCATTTGTTTGGACTCTGCGAGGGAAGCAGTGACGTCAGGCGGGACACGTAAAACAGCACAGTTTCACAACACATTGCTTTTTTATTAACACTGTAACCCAATTTACAAAACTACCTAATCAATTAAAACAACATAATTAATCTGAAATGATTTTTTAATATCATATAAATATGTTTATATCAAATCACATTTGTACACCTAAACCAAATAAATATAAAATAATAAAAGCTTCAGGAAAGAGGGATTATATAAGACCAGCTCTTGAATACATTGGGTGTGACAGTGACCAGCAATGCCACTTCCTGATCAATTAGAAGTCTAAAAAAAAATTTAACCATTGCATATTATAAATAAATCTTTCATGTGCAGAAAGTGGTCACTCTTGTATCATCCTCTCACTGTGTGTGAAATTCTAGTTCTGTAATGCACACAGTGGCCACTGGATGTCATATCAGTAAATTATAAGGAACACTATTCCTGCTCTCCTTGGTGGGGTACTACCATCACCCTGACTTGTTGGGCCTCTACCTACTTAACCGATGAGCTGCCTTGTCCTGTTCAAAACCAGCTCCAGTCATCATTTTAAAGGGTAGTATAAAAACTGCAGATGTAATATTGACCGACAAGTATATTGTCTAACAAACAAAATCAGTAGTCCTTATAGTGCCAATAAATTAGATTGGAAGGGGGATGCCACTACACCTACCCCTATGGAACAGCCTCCACTGCTATCTCTGAGTCATTTTGTAATATATACATGGATTAGAAGTTTCCATAATATGCGGCAGTAATCCAAGGCTCCCCAGAAATACATTGTGTAACATCCACAACGCTACACAACTAGGGAGGATATTGCTTCTGTAGTACACGGAGTGTCCACTAGATGTCTCTATACTTCAGTGATAGGCATAATGCATTGAACTCATAGACTACGGGAATCCATATGATGTTCATGTTTTTAATTTCCATTCCATGATATTGTACCTAAAAAGGAAATGCTAATGCTTTATTCAATTTCCAAATTAGGACAGAGCATTCTGGAACATAACACTGTTAACTTGATGAGAGAGAAGGGCTGTCTTTGCAAAAATCGAGTCAGATAAATGCTCCAGCAACATCGTATTGAGTGAAATTTCGCCGTCTCATACAAAATATTACCTAAATAAAAAGAAATATGTACATAGTGTTAATATTATTTTTATTAATGCTATAACATTTAAGTAATAATTTTTCATAATAATTATTATTACTGTTATAACTGTTATAAATTCTGAAAGAGTGAAATAAAAATTTAGTTTTAAATTTTGTTCAAGTGCAGTTTAGTTTAAAAAATGTAACAATTGAAAATGTATTTTTTTTAGAAAGAAGGTTTAAAAAAAGGACTTAAATTTACAACTGCCTTTCATTTTTTCCCCATTTTCTATTCTACTTTTTTCTATGTGTGTCTGTGAGGTGCTGTGTGGGTCAAGGGTGCTGTGTGTGTGTGTTTTTGTGTGAAGAGTGTAGTATGTGGGTGTGTTTGTGAGAGGTGCAGTGTGTGTGTGAAGGTTGCTGTGTGTGTGTGAAGGTTGCTGTGTGTGTGTGAAGGGGACAGTGCATGTGCAAAGTTGCAGTGCGTGTGTGTAAGGGGCAGTGCATTAGTGAGGGGGCAGTGTGTGTGAAGGGAGGAGTGTGTAAGGGAGCAGTCTGTGTGTGAGACGGGGCAGTCAGTGTGCGTGTGAGGGGACAGTCTGTGTGTATTTGAGGGGGCAGTTCATGTGTGAAGGGGCAGTATGTGTGTGAGGGGGCAGTGCTTGTGTAAGGGGGCAATGCATGTGCGAGGGGTCAGTGTATGTGAGGGGGCAGTGTGTGTGTGAGGAGACAGTCTCTGTGTGTGGAGTGTGTGTGTAAGGTGTGTAGTGTGTGTTTGTGTGTAAAGGGTGCATAGGGTCTATGCTGTGTGTAGGTGGGTGTGAAAATCTATCTTACTGTCTCCCCCTTCTTCTTCTTCTCCTCCAGCTGCAGGCTAACTCTCCTGTCCTCCTGTGAGTACAGCACTGTATCGGAGCATTGCATGGTAATGCGTGGCAATGCTCCAACCTGCCTACTTGGAGGAACACAGAGCCTCCCAGGCCTCTCCTTCACTCTGCTGGAAAAGAGTGCCAGCGGGCCAGTGAGAGAGATCATTGATTTCCTCAACAGCCCAAGAGGGCTTACAGCGAGGCTGGATCTGCAGGGGCCGGCAGGAGAGATAAAAGGATCTCCCCTGTCAGCCTTGGTCCACGGCCATCGAGGCCCTTGGGCATTTTCTGCAGAACCCACCATCGCCTACCTGAAATACCAAACTTCCCACTAGTGGCGGGTAGGGGCCAGGTTGACTACCCTTGGTCTATTTTTGAAGCCTCAAAGCCCTCTATGGTCAATTGTTTAAAGCCTCAAAGCCCTCTGACAGCTGTGAGTGGGTGCTAATGACATCAGCGCATGCACATAGTATTAGCTATTGGTAAAGCAGAGATCCTACTGTGAGTGAGTATTTTGCTATGAAATCAGTACAGTAAACCTAGGTAGCACTACCTGTGACAGCAATTTTCATATTTAATGACTCACACGAAAGCATTAATTGACCCTGCGCTAGATAAAATACGGAATCTCGTGAAATAAAAAGTACATGCTTAGATTTTGTAGAGTTTTTAACCTCTGGTTTTTTTACCTCTTTCTCTTTATTACTCCCTCTTTCTTTCACTTAATCTTTCTTTTTGAATGTCTGTATTTCTTCCTTGGTCTGTCTGTCTATCACTGTCTCTCTGTTTGTATGTCTTTATACCAACTTATATCTCATACAAATATTTTTGGATAAGCTTTTCAAATGTTCACGATCTGATAGAAAAACAGTTCAAATGCGTTGTCTAACACAATTCCCACAGTTTTCTGTTGATAAAGCTTTTGAAAACTAAAATGATGAAATGAAGGTTATGTTTAGCACCAGGAGCTGAAATACCAGATGCAAATCTGCTTAATATGAGTTAAATCCTGCTCTTCCCAGTAGCCTAATATAGTTATAACTAATAACTAGTAGTCTAAAAAAAAAAGCCTATGCTTCATTCTGTCCCCCTTTTTCTGGCAAACAAACTGCGTGGGTTGTTAGTTTGGTGAAATATGCAAATGATGCTTTGAAGTTACTGAATTAAGACCACCCACAGAAATAACTGTGTTTGCTCAGACCACTTTTTTATTGCTACATTCTCACCCCTAAACATTTTTAGAAGAGACATTGATCTTAAAGGACCACTCTAGGCACCCAGACCACTTCAGCTTAATGAAGTGGTCTGGGTGCTAGGTCCAGCTAGGGTTAACCCATTTTTTCATAAACATAGCAGTTTCAGAGAAACCGCTATATTTATGAATGGATTAAGCCTTCCCCTATTTCCTCTAGCGGCTGTCTCATTGACAGCCACTAGAGGCGCTTGCGTGCTTCTCACTCTGATTTTCACAGTGAGAGCACGCCAGCGTCCATAGGAAAGCATTATAAATGCTTTCCTATGTGACCGGCTGAATGCGCGCGCAGCTCTTGCCGCGCGTGCGCATTCAGCCGACGGGGAGGAACGGAGGAGGAGAGCTCTCCGCCCAGCGCTGGAAAAAGGTACGTTTTTACCCCTTTCCCCTTTCCAGAGCCAAGTATGTTTTTCTGGCACTATAGTGGTCCTTTAAGTCCGCTCAACTTGTCAATTGTCAATATAAACTCCAATGTCATGCGAATACAGGAGATCTTCTCTTAGGACTGAAACTGAAACACTCTGCAAACAACATATGAGCACAGAGAGAAGTGACTGCTATTGCAGGTTGACAACGAAATTAACAGGCCAAAAATATAGAAGAAGATACTTACTGCGAAGATCCCGCCAACAATGAGGAAGGTTCCAATGCTTACTGCTAAGGCAATGACAATGATTTCCCATGGAACAAGTGTACTGGCACTGCCTGATACAGAGGTCCCACTATTCCTGGTAGATTCAGTTTGGCTGCTACTCCTAATGCTGGTTGTCCTTGAAATGGTGTTGGTGCTGGTGGTTAGCTCTGTTTGGCTGTTGATTTTTGTACTGGAATGCGTTACAAGGTTACTGGTTTTTGGTTTTGGTTTTCTGGTTGACTCAGTTGCAACATAAGTCTTGCTAGTAGGTGTATTTTGACTACTTGTTACCATACTGGATAATGCTACTGTCAAAGTAATGCTTTGTACTTGCTGACTTGTTGGTCCAACACTGGGGGGCATTGTGTTAGTGGTTAATACTCTTGGGGTATTTGTCTCTGTTTTAGGAAGTGTTACAGTGCTATTTGTATTTGATACAGGTTGACTGACCAGCTTCGTACCTGCAAGGGTTATTGTGCTTCTGGTAGATAATTCAGTTTGGCTACTGATCCCTGTGCTGAAAATAGTTAAAGGGCTAGTTGGTCTAGAACTGAAGGTCACAAAATTGCTGGTAGAATCAGTTTGGCTATTTGAATTTATGCTGGCAAATCCCATGGGATTACTGGTATCTGAGATCATTTGTTTGGTTGTCCTGGTAATGGAGGAAGTCACTGTGTTGCTGATTAACTCTGTTTGGCTGTTGGTTTCTGTAATGGAATGAGTTACAAGGTTACTGGTTTTTGCTTCTGGTTGTCTGGTTGATCCAATTGCAACAGAAGCCTTGCTGGAATGCTCATTTTGGGTATTTGTTACCGAACTGGGAAATGTCACTGGATAAGTAATGTTTGTTAATTGTTGACCTGTTGTCCCAGTGCCAGCAGGAGGTATTCTTCTACTAGTTGATTCTTGCAGGGTATTTGTATCTCTTGTAGTGAGAGTTACATAGCTACTGGTATTTGATACAGATTGACTGATGGATTTAATGCTAGTAGGGATTATTGTGATTATGGCAGATAATTCAGTTTGACTAATACCAACAGGTGTCACTGTGCTTCTGGTTAAATTATTTTGGCTACTTGTGTGCAACGTTGTAGGGTTCATGATGCTTGTTACCCTTGTACTGCTTGAATTTATTGTGTTTAGGGTAGATTCAGAATCTCTACTAGGAAGGGTGGTAAGGTTACTGGTATATGACTTTTGGTTACTTGTCTTTCCATAGGATGAAGTCACAGGGCTCCTAGTGTTTGGTACTAGTTGACTGGTTGACACAGTATCAGTGTGGGTTACTGTGTTACCAAGTGATTCATTTAAGCTTTGACTTACAGTGCTAGGTGAAGTTACAAAGTTGATGGAATTGGATACAGGTTTACTGGTTAGTTCAGTACCCAGATGAGTAATGTTCATGGAGGATATTTCAGGTTGGTTAGTGGTCTCTGCATTAGAAGAAGTCACAGGATTCATGGTAATTGATACTAGCTGACTAGTTGACACAGTAGCAGGCTGGGTCAATGTGTTACTAGTTGATACCATTGGGTTTTGCCTCTCTGTATTAGGAAGTGTTTCGAGGCTCATGGTATTAGATGCAGGCTGACTGGTTAGCTCAGTGCCAAGATGTGTGGTGGTTGATATTCCAAATTGGTTACTGGTCTTTATATTAGATGAAGTCACATGGTTCCTGGTGTTTGATACTAGTTTACTGGTTGACACAGTATCAATGTTGGTTACTGTGTTACCAGTTGATTCATTTGGACTTTGGCTTTGGGTGCTAGAAGAAGTTACAAGGCTAGTGAAAGTGAATACAGGTTGACTAGTTAATTCAGTACCAAGATGAGTAATGGTGGATATTTCAGGTTGGTTAGTGGTCTTGGCACTAGAAAAAGTCAAAGGTTTCCAGGTGTTTGATACTAGTTGACTGGTTGACACAGTATCAGTGCGGGTTACTGTGTTACCAGTTGATAAATTTAGGCTTTGGCGCTTAGTGCTAGGAGAAGTTACAAGACTAATGGAATTGGATGCAGGTTGACTAGTTAGCTTAGTACCAAAATGAGTAATAGAGGCTAATTCTGGTTGGTTAGTGGTGTCTGCATTAGGAAAAGTCACAGATTTCCTGGTGTTTGATACTAGCTGACTGGTTGACACAGTATCAGCTTGGGTCACTGTGTTACTAGTTAATTCCATTGGGGTTTGACTCTCAGTGCTAGGAGAAGTTACAAGGCTGATGGAATTTGATGCAGGTTGATTAGTTAGCTTAGTACTAAGATGAGTAATGTTCATGGTGGATATTTTAGGTTGGTTAGTATTCTCTGCATTAAGTGAAGTCACATGGTTCTGGGTGATTGATACAAGTTGACTGGGTGACACAGTATCTGTGTGGGTTACTGGGTTACCAGTTGTTTTGTTTGTGCTTTGGCTCTCATTGCTAGGAACAGTTACAAGGCTGATGGAATTGGATTCAGGTTGACTAGTTAGCTCAGTACCATAATGAGTAATGGTGGAAATTTCATGTTGGTTAGAGGTCTTGGCATCTGAAGAAGTTACAGGGTTCATAGTGTTTGATACTAGTTGACTGGTTGACACAGTATCGACGTGGGTCACTGTGTTACCTGTTGATTCCATTGGGGTTTGCCTCTCTGTATTAGGAAGAGTTTTGAGGCTCTTGGTATTGAAGGCTGGTTGACTGATTAACTCAGTACCAAGGTGAGTAATGTTCGTGGTTGATATTTCAGTTTGGTTACTAGTCATTGCATTAGATATAGTTACAGGCTTCCTGGTGTTTGATACTAGTTGACTGGTTGACCCTTTATAAATGTGGGTCATTGTGTTACTAGTTAATTCTTTTGGGCTTTGACTTTTAGTGGTAATATAAGTTACATGGCTTGTGGAATTGGATGCAGTTTGACTAGCTAGCTTAGTAACACGATGAGTAATGGTGGATATTTCAGGTTGGTTAGTGGTTTCAGCATTAGGAGAACTCACATGGTCCCTGGGGGTTGATACTAGTTGACTTGCTGACACAATATCAGTGCGAGTAAGTGTGTTACTATTTAATTTTTTTGTGCTTTGGCTTTCGGTGATAGGAGAACTTACAGCATAGTATGATGCAGGTTGATTAGTTAGCTCAGTACCACGATGAGTAATGGTGAATATTTCAAGTTGGTTAGTGGTCTCAGCATTAGGAGAAGTCACAGGTTTTCCATTGTTTGTTACTAGTTGACTGGATGACACAATATCAATGTGGGTTACTGTGTTACCAATTGATTCCTTTGGGCTTTTACTCTTGGTGCTAGGAGAAGTTACAAGATTAATGGAATTGGATGCAGGTTCATTAGTTAGCTCCGTACCAAAATGAGTAATGGAGGCTATTTCTGGTTGGTTAGTTGTCTCTGCATTAGGAGAATTCACAGATTTCCTGGTGTTTGATACTAGCTGACTGGCTGACACAGTATCAGTTTGGGTAACTGTGTTACTAGTTAATTCCATTGGAGTTTGACTCTCAGTGCTAGGAGATGTTACTAGGCTAATGGACTTGGATGCAGGTTGATTAGTTAGTACAGAATCAAAATGAGTAATGGTGGATATTTCAGGTTGGTTAGTGGTCTCATCATTAGGAGAAGTCACAGGTTTCCTGGTGTTTGATACCAGTTGACTGGGTGACACAGTATCAATGTGGGTCACTGTGTTCCCAGTTGATTCCTTTGGGCTTTGAGCCTTAGTGCTAGGAGAAGTTACAAGATTGATGGAATTGGATGCAGGTTTACTAGTTAGCTCAGTACGAAGATGAGTAATTGTGGCTATTTCAAGTTCGTTAGTGGTCTCAGCATTAAGTGAAGTCACATGGGTCCTGATGTTTGGTACTAGTTGACTGGTTAACACAGTATCAATGTGGGTCATTGTGTTACTAGTTGATTCTTTTGGGCTTTGACTTTCTGTGGTAAAAAAAGTTACATGGCTTATGGAATTGGATGCAGGTTGACTAGATGGCTTAGTAACAAGATTAGTAATGGTGGATATTTCAGGTAGGTTAGTGGTCTCAGCATTAGGAGAACTCACATGGTCCCTGGTGGTTGATACTAGTTGACTGTTTGACACAGTATCAGTGCGGGTTAGTGTGTTATAATTTAATTCTTTTGTGCTTTGGCTTTCGATGATAGGAGAAGTTACAACAGTGATATAATTGGATGCAGGTTGATTAGTTAGCTCAGTACCAAGATGAGTAATGGTGAATATTTCAAGTTGGTTAGTGGTCTGAGCATTAGGAGTATTCACAGGCTTTTCATTGTTTGATACTAGTTGACTGGTTGATGCAGTATCAATGTTGGTTACTGTGTTACCAATTGATTCCTTTGGGCTTTGACTCTTGGTGCTAGGAGAAGTTACAAGATTAATGGGATTGGATGCAGATTCACTAGTTAGCTCAGTACCAAAAGGAGTAATGGAGGTTATTTCTGGTTGGTTAATTGTCTTGGCATTAGAAGTCACAAGTTTCCAGGTGTTTGATACTAGTTGACTGGTTGACACAGTATCAGTGTGGGTTACTGTGTTACCAGTTGATTCTTTTGGACTTTGATTCTCAGTACTAGGATAAGTTACAAGATTGATGGAGTTGGATGCAGGTCGACTAGTTAGCTCATTAACAAGAAGAGTTGTGTATATTTCTGGTTTGTTAGTGGTCTCAGCATTAAGAGAAGTCACAGGTTTTCCATTGTTTGATACTAGTTGACTGGTTGACATAGTATCAAAATGGGTTATTGTGCTACCAATTGATTCCTTGGGGTTTTGACTCTCGTTGCTAGGAGAAGTTACAAGACTAATGGAAGGTTGACTAGTTAGCTCAGTACCAAAATTAGTCATAGAGGCTATTTCTGGTTGGTTAGTGGTCTCTGCATTAGGAGAAGTCACAGATTTCCTGGTGTTTGATACTAGTTGACTGGCTGAAACAGTATCAGTTTGTGTCACCGTGTTACTAGTTAATCCCATAGGGTTTTGGCTCTCGGTGCTAGGAGAAGTTACAAGACTAATGGAATTGAATAAAGGTTGACTAGTTAGTTCAGTACCAAGATCAGTGGTGGTGGATAGTTCTGGTTTGTTACTAGTCTCAGTATTAAGAGAAGTCACATGGTTCCTGGTGTTTGAAACTAGTTGACTGGTTGACACAGTATCAGTTTTGGTCGCTGTGTTAATAGTTGATTCAATTGGCTTTTTGCTCTCAGTGCTAGGAGAAGTTACATGGCTGATGGAATTGGATGCAAACTGAGTAGATAACTCAGTACCAAGATTAGTAATGGTGGATATTTCTGGTTTGTTAGCGGTCTCAGCAGTAAGATAAGTCCTGGTGTTTGAAACTAGTTGACTGGTTGACACAGTATCAGTTTTGGTCGCTGTGTTAATAGTTGATTCAATTGGCTTTTTGCTCTCAGTGCTAGGAGAAGTTACATGGCTGATGGAATTGGATGCAAACTGAGTAGATAACTCAGTACCAAGATTAGTAATGGTGGATATTTCTGGTTTGTTAGCGGTCTCAGCAGTAAGATAAGTCCTGGTGTTTGATACTAGTTGACTGGTTGACACAGTATCAACGTGGGTCATTGTGTTACTAGTTGATTCTTTTGGGCTTTGACTTTCCGTGGTAAGAGAAGTTACATGGCTTTTGGAATTGGATGCAGGTTGACTAGATGGCTTAGTAATAAGATTAGTAATGGTGGATATTTCAGGTAAGTTAGTGGTCTCAACATTAGGAGAACTCACATGGTCCCTGGTGGTTGATACTAGTTGACTTTTTGACACAGTATCAGTGCGGGTAAGTGTGTTATCATTTAATACCTTTGTGCTTTGGCTTTCGGTGATAGGAGAAGTAATGACAGTGATATACTTGGATGCAGGTTGATTAGTTAGCTCAGTACCAAGAGAAATAGTGGTGAATATTTCAAGTTGGTTAGTGGTCTCAGCATTAGGAGAATTCACAGGCTTTTCATTGTTTGATACTAGTTGACTGGTTGATGCAGTATCAATGTTGGTTACTGTGTTACCAATTGATTCCTTTGGGCTTTGACTCTTGGTGCTAGGAGAAGTTACAAGATTAATGGGATTGGATGCAGATTCACTAGTTAGCTCAGTACCAAAAGGAGTAATGGAGGCTATTTCTGGTTGGTTAATTGTCTTGGCATTAGAAGTCACAAGTTTCCAGGTGTTTGATACTGGTTGACTGGGTGACACAGTATCAATGTGGTTTACTATATTACCAGTTGATTCTTTTGGCCTTTGATTCTCAGTGCTAGGATAAGTTACAAGATTGATGGAATTGGATGCAGGTTTACTAGTTAGCTCAGTACGAAGATGAGTAATTGTGGATATTTCAAGTTCGTTAGTGGTCTCAGCATTAGTAGAAGTCATAGATTTCCTATTGTTTGATACTAGTTGACTGGTTGACACAGTATTAATGTGGGTCGTTGTGTTACTAGTTGATTCTTTTGGGATTTTACTTTCTGTGATAAGAGAAGTTACATACCTTATGGAGTTGGATGCAGGTTGACTAGCTAGCTTAGTAACAAGATTATTAATGGTGGATATTTCAGGAAGGTTAGTGGTCTTGGCATTAGGAGAAGTCACATGGTTCCTGGTGTTTGATACTAGTTGACTGGTTGACACAGTATCAGTTGTAATCTCTGGATTACTAGTTGATTCCACTGGGTTTTGACTCTCAGTTCTAGCTGAAGTTACAAGCCTGATAGAATTGGATGTAATTTCAGGATGGTTAGTGGTGTCGGCATTAGGAGAAGTCACAGGGTTTCCAGTGTTTGATACTCGTTTACTGGATGTCACAATATCAATGTGGCTTACTATGTTACCAGGTGATTCCTTTGGGCTTTGACTCTCGGTGCTATGAGAACTTATATGACTGATGGAATTGGATACAGGTTGAGGAGATAGCTCAGTACCACGATGAGTTATGGTGGATATTTCAGGTTGGTTTGTTGTCTCTGCATTAGGAGAAGTCACAGAGTTCCCGGTGTTTGGTTCTAATTGACTGGTTGACACAGTATCAATGTTGGTTACTGGGTTACCAGGTGGTTCCTTTGTAATCTGACTTTCGGTGATAGGAGAACTTACAACACTGATGTAATTCAATGCAGGGTGACTAGTTAGCTCAGTTTGAAAATGAGTAATAGCGGATTGTTCAGGTTGGTTTGTTGTCTCAGCATTAGGAGAAACCACAGTGTGCCCGGTGTTTGGTACTAATTTACTGGTTGACACAGTATCAATGTGGGTTACTTTGTTACCTTGTGATTCCTTTGTGCTTTGGCTTTGGGTAATAGGAGAAGTTACAACACTGATGTAATTTGATGCATGTTGACTACTTAGCTCAGTACCAAGATGAGTAAAGGTGAATATTTCAAGTTGGCTAGTGGTCTCAGCATTGGGAGAGGTTACATATTCTCCACTGTTTGACACTAGTTGACTGGGTGACACAGTATCAATGTTGGTTACTGTGTTACCAATTGATTCATTTGGGCGTTGACTCTTGCTAGGAGAAGTTACAAGATTAATGGAATTGGATGCAGGTTCACTAGTTAGCTCAGTACCAAAATGAGTAATGGAGACAGTTTCTGGTTGGTTACTTGTCTTAGCATTAGTAGAAGTCACAAATTTCCAGGTGTTTGATACTAGTTGACTGGGTGAAACGGTAACAAGGTGGGTTACTATGTTACCAGTCGATTCCTTTGGGCTTTGATTCTCAGTGCTAGGATAAGTTACAAGATTGATGGAATTGGATGCAGGTTGACTACTTAGCTCAGTACCAAGAGTGGTGTTGTATATTTCTGGTTTGTTAGTGGTCTCAGCATTAAGAGAAGTCACGTGGTTCCTGGTGTTTGATACTAGCTGACTGGTTGACACAGTATCAGCTTGCGTCACTGCGCTACTGGTTGATTTAATTGGGTTTTGGCTCTCAGTGCTAGTTGAAGTTAAAAGGCTGATGGAATTGGATGCAGTTAGACTACTCAGCTCAGTACCAAGGTTAGTAATGGTGAATATCTCAAGCTGGTTAGTGGTCTCAGCATTAGGAAAAGTCACACGTTTTTCATTGTTTGATACTTGTTGACTGGATGACACAGTATCAATGTGGGTTACTGTGTTACCAATTGATTCCTTTGGGCTTTGACTCTCAGTGCTAGGAGAAGTTACAAGACTAATGGAATTGGATGCAGGTTGACTAGTAAGCTCAGTACCAAAATGAGTTATAGAGGCTAATTCTGGTTGGTTAGTGGTCTCTGCATTAGGAGAAGTCACAGATTTCCTGGTGTTTGATACTATCTGACTGGTTGACACAGTATCAGCTTGGGTCACTGTGTTACTAGATAATTCCATTGGGGTTTGACGCTCAGTGCTAGGAGATGTTACATGGCTGATGGACTTGGATGCAGGTTGATTAGTTAGTATAGTACCAAAATGAGTAATGGTGGATATTTTAGGTTGGTCAGTGGTCTCATCATTTGGAGAAGTCACAGTTTTCCTGGTGTTTGATACCAGTTTACTGGGTGACACAGTATTAATGTGGGTCACTGTGTTCCCAGATGATTCCTTTGGGCTTTGATTTTCAGTGCTAGGAAAAGTTACAAGATTGATGGAATTAGATGCAGGTTGACTAGTTAGCTCAGTACCAAGATCAGTGATGGTGGATATTTCTGGTTTGTTAGTGGTCTTGGGATAAGAATAAGTCACATGGTTCCTGGTGTTTGATACTAGTTGACTGGTTGACACAGTATCAGTTTGTGTCACTATGTTACTAGTTGATTCCACCGGGTTTTGACTCTCAGTTATAGGTGAAGTTTCAAGGGTGATAGAATTGGATGTCATTTCAGGATGGTTACTCATCTCGGCATTAGGAGAAATCACAGGGTTTTCACTATTTGATACTAGTTGACTGGATGTCCCAATATCAATGTGGGTTACTATGTTACCAGGTGATTCCTTTGGGCTTTGACTCTTGGTGATAGAAGAAGTTACAATACTGATGGAATTGGATGCAGGTAGACTAGTTAGCTCACTACTAAGATCAGTGCTGGTAGATATTTCTGGTTTGTTAGTGGTCTTGGGATAAGAATAAGTCACATGGTTCCTGGTGTTTGATACTAGTTGACTGGTTGACACAGTATCAGTTTGTGTTACTATGTTACTAGTTGATTCCACTGGGTTTTGACTCTCAATTATAGATGAAGTTACAAGGCTGATAAAATTGGATGTAATTTCAGGATGGTTAGTCGTCTCGGAATTAGGAGAAATCACAGGGTTTTCAGTATTTGATACTAGTTGACTGGATGTCCCAATATCAATGTGGGTTACTATGTTACCAGGTGATTCCTTTGGGCTTTGACTCTCGGTGATAGGAGAAGTTACAAGACTGATGGAATTGGATGCAGGTTGAGTAGTTAGCTCAGTAAAAAGATGAGTAATGTTGGCTATTTCAGATTGGTTAGTAGTCTCAGAATTAGGAGACGTCACATGGTTCCTGGTGTTTGATACTAGTTGACTGGTTGAAACAGTAACAGTTTTGGTTTCTTTGTCACTCATTGATTCCATTGGATTTTGGCTCTCGGTGCTGAGAGATTTTGCAAGGCTGATGGAATTGGATGCAGGTTGACTGGTTAGCTCAGTACTAAGATGAGTAATGTTCATGGTGGATATTTCCACTTGGATACTGGTCTCTGGATTAGTAAAAGTGGTTGGGTTTTTGGTGTTGGATGCTATCTCACTGGTTGGCTCAATGGCATCAGTTTTAGTAAATGATACAAGGCTAATTATATTTGATGCAGGGTTACTGGTTAGCTTAGTATCATCAGTACTCATTGTTTTTATGGTAAATATTTTACTTTGGTTACTTGTCTCTTTAGTGAGGAGGGTTGATATTGTTTTACTTTTTGAGCCACTAGTCACTGAGGTCACCGTGTTAATTGTAGATGTACTTCCTGTCTTGGTTTGTGTGCTGGTTTTTGATATTGTATGGTTGGTTTCCTCAGTACCAGCAGGTGTCACTTTTTTGCTAGTAGTTTTGGTTTGGCTATTGTGTTCTGTACTGGATAGTGTCATACGCGTACCGTGAGATGAGCGATTAATAGAAGATGTCAATGGGTAGCTGGTAGTTTCTATGCTGGTTTTTGTACTATGACGGGTTTGTGATTTTCTTGAGCAGGTTGTTTTGCGCCTTGCAGTGCCAGGGGTGACTTTTCTCACAAGGTTACTGTTGTTTGCTTTTAATTGGTTAGTTATCCCAGGTTCAGCAGAGGCCACCATGTTACCAGTAGACTTATTGTGATAACTGTCTGATGTTGATTTGTTGGTTATCTGTGTAACTAAATGATAACCTTTTGTAGTGTTTTGTTTTTTCACATTTGTGGTCTCCATAGATGGTGAAGTGACTGTATTACTTGTGTGGCTTGTGAGCCATATGATAGAAGTATTTGTAGTACTGGATACTGATGTCTTATTTAATCCATCTTTGTGTGTTGTGGAAGCCAAATTGTTTCTGATCTCTGATGATTGAAAATTGGTTATGAACGATGATGGTTGGACTGTGATTTTTTTACTTAAAGAAGTTATTTTGTTAGTAGTTGATACTGCTTGACCGTTGGTCTCTGTAGTGAACGTAGGCTGAATGCTGTTGGAAGTCTGTGTTGGTTTACTGGGGGTGCTTGGATTTATAGGAATTTCTTTATCACTTGGAAATAGAATGTCTTTTACGGTTTCCAAAAATGATGATATAATTGGCTCTCCATTGACACTTGACCCTAGGAAAGCAAAATAATGTTAATATTACAGATCAATGCTATAATGTTATTATACAATTTAATAAATGAGTAACTATACACTAAGAATTAAAATATGTATTTAGAAAGTACATGTACACAGCAAGAAAAACAGTATGATCTCAAATTAATCTGCAGTAAATCATTAGTGGCTTTTCTCATATTGCTGTCTGTGGCGAAACCTACCTCGCCACTGTGAACTGGAGAAGCCTGGTTGCTCGCCTGCTCCCTTTGGACTATGGCCCTGCAGGTTAAACCATTTATTTTCCCTGCAGAAAGGCTTATTCGTGTGATCTGAGTGCCATTCATCTAATAATGTGCGCTCAGATCAAAGCTATCTGGGGATGTGTAGAAATGTGTGTTTTATGTACTAAATGTATCAGTATGTAATTTTATGTCTTTTACTGTCTTTTTGTCTGCCATGTGGGTAATGGAGTTTTGCCTCTGTCCTGGGAGATAATTAGATTCCTTCCCCAATTATCTCCAGGCCAGAGGGGAGGGATTGTGAGGCATTGTGGGAGGTAACTCATGTGTGATTGGTGTATTGTGTAATTGTTGTAAATCCCTCCATGCATGGGAGAATCCTTTATAAGCCTGTTGTGTGAATAAATCAGGTTTGTTCCTGTTTAACCCTCCAAGTGAAGTGTCGTCTCATTCTTGGGGGGAATTTGACTGTATGCCGATTGCCAGGAGTGTAAGCTGTTCTTAGGGCTTTTCCTGTTCGGCTACTTCCAGGGTTCGTGTGTTTCCTGTTCGGGAGTTGGGGATTCGTACAGTTTGGAGTTCGGGAGATTGGTGATTGCAGTAGCTGCTGGTCTATGGGAAAGGGGATTATCGCCTAAACGGTTTTTATCCTCTTGTGAGAGAAACAGTCCGTTACACTGTCTCTATCACAATCCTTTTTTAATACTGCAACTAGACCATATCCTCTCGGTTTTCATAGCCCAATTGGCTCACACTAAGTTCTATTTATTCAGTAACACAAATTCAGATCCTAACTTATACATAAATATATCTCTACTTTGCTCATTGAAAATATCTGCCGAGAATCCATGTGTAAAGTGGAATTATGAGGAAAAAATTTGGTTCTTTGTTGAAGTTATTTGCATACAACTACCCAGCATCCCTTGCAGTAGTGAGAGCACTGTTAAAGTGAGATTCCTGTGGGAAAAGCCAGTCTTATGGCTAGACTGGTGTGTGTATTTGTGTTTAACAATGTATTAACTATATATATATATATATTCTCAACATAAATGGAGCACTCAAAGCTCTTCTCTCCTTATGATGTCTTTATTCAAAGTAAATAAAGGCATCCCAATGGAATAAGACTTTGAGTGCTCCCTTATGTTTTTATTTCAACATATGATTTGTACTTAGGCACACTTTGAATGTTATAGCAGTAAGAAGAATGCCTTAGAAACCTTTGAAACTATATATTGGACACAAGCACACATACACACACTGTCACACATAAACATATATAACGTTTGTTCCATGCATATATAGCTATATACATTCGAAACATGCATAGGCATAGACACAAACACACCGATGTACAGATACCCACAATGATGCACAGACACACACATACATTGACAGATAGTCATGCGATCATAGTGTGCCTGGCAGTCTGTATTGGTACCTATGTGTGTATGTCTGATATCGTTTAGCATGTATGTATGTTCACCAGAGGGTGTGTGAGTGTCTGGCAATGAGTATCATTGTGCATCTTTGAGTGTACATATGTTTGATTGTGTTTCTATGGCTGTGCCTGCAATGCATATATGTGTCTGTGTGTGTTTGTGTATCTCTTTGTGAGTGTTTGTGTGGAGGGTGTGCTTGCAGTGTGTCATGTGTATGAGGGGCTGTTTGTGCTTACTGTATGCCTTGTATTTATAATAGGGTTGTTTTGTGTGTGTTAGAGGTGATTGTGTGAGTATGAGGATTACTGTCTGTGGAGTGATGCCTGTGTCTAAGAGTGTCTGTGTATTTATGAGGGTGACTATTGCACGATAGTTGTGACAGAGTGAGAGTGACATGCTAACTGTGTATTAGGTGATAGTGTGGGAGATGACTGTGTGTGGTGGGGAGGAGAGTTGATGTGACAGGGTGACTGACTGTGTGCGGGGTATGGGGTGGTGTGACAGGGTGACTGTTTGGGGATGGGTAGATTGAATGTGGGTGCAGCCTCCTCACACAGTGTTATCTTTAAAAAAAATAAAGATATCTAACTGAGCTTCCCCCCATGCTTACCTTGCCCTGTGCAGTTGGGGTTGCTCCGATCACTTTTCCCTAGTGGTCTGGTAGACTGTCTGTGAAATCTGCACTCTCTCTGAATGCAGACCGCTCAGAATGCCCCTCCTGGTCTCCGACTGGGAGGGAGGATTTGCAGAGGACTACTGTCAGCCAGAGGACAGCCTGCAGAGTGAACAGCACAGCACTGGGCGGCGATCTCTAGATCTTCCTACTGGCTAGTGCTATGCTGGGGGGAAGGTGGTATCAGGAAAAGTATTGAACATGAAATGAGTTTCTTTTGCATTCATAGTAATTGGGTATAGACAGCCTTGTGAAGGGGTAAATAACAAAAACCACAACCTTGAATGACAAAAAAATAGCAACAACAAAAAAAATATCTTTATTCACTTTTCACTTTTTCAAATAAGGTTTTCTATTGACCTATTCATTGCTAGGCCAGTTTTGAACATTATGTTATCTTTTTGTTGAAGTTAAGTTAATTTAACTTTTTTTTTAAAACAAATGCTCTGATTTGAAGGGATACTATAGTGCCAGATAAACAAGACCGTTTTCCTGCCACTATAGGTTTCTATAGTTCCCCTATCCCTCGTGTTCCATTTCCCGGGGCGCTAAGGGAGTTAAAACACCCTTCAGTAACTTATCTGAATACAGCGCCTCCCAGGCTGGGAGCCTGCTGTAGGTAAATTGCCGACCACTGAGTGGCCGCTGTTCGTACAAACGAACATGTGGCGGCGGCCATCTTTGTTAGTTGAACGCGGTCAGCGGTGTGTGTAGCCAAATCCATGGAACTGAAATCAGCTACACATTTCAATGAACACCGATGACCCTTACAGTCTCCTACACTTAGATTCTGAGGCTGGAAACTAAGTCATTTTCGGCAGTTTGAATGTACTGTTACACTGAGCCAATTGCACGAATGGTGCCCCGTTCGTGCATTCGAATGGGACTTAGTCATTTTTCTGCCTGAAATAGACCGACCGCACAGTCCAAATCTATGGAACTGTTTTGGGCAAGAAAATGTGCTTGCGATCCGTCAAAAAGTGTAGCGGTACTTACCCTCTCCAGGGGCCAGGCGAGGTCCTCTTTCCCCGCCGCGCACCGTCCTGTAACTGCACGTCTGACAGGGAGAACAGGAAGGCGTGCACTGACCGCGAGAAGCGGCCACATGACTCGTCTGGCACTAGGATCGCGCCGCGTGTATCGGGCGCGCTTTTAAAGGGACAGTGGGAGCCAAAAATAAAAAAAGGTCTCCCATTGGCCCATGTCATTCCACATTCCCCATATGTTCATGTTTTGGTGGTGTGGATATGACAAGGACCAATCAAATTAAACTAATAGGTATTTATACTCACCTTTCCCTTAGCTCCCTGCCCTATCGTGGTTTCTGATTCAGTTCCCTTTAGTGCTTGCTTCGTGTAGTAGTGTTTTTTTCATGCTTGACCTTGGCTTTGTACCTGACTCCGATTTTCTCTTTATCCATGCTTTGTCTTGTTCACCGGTTTCCTGACTCCTGTGTACCAGTCCTTGGTTAGTTCTTGTTTATGCTGTCTCTCTGTTCCCTTGACCTCGGCTCGTTCTTGACTCCATCTTTTCCTGTCCACATCGAGTCTGGCCATTCTAAGGCCCAGCAAGATGTATCTTGTTATCTTGTCTCCTGTTGGACTATTCTTGCGTGCTGGGGTATACTACCGTGACAAAAAGGGACTTCAATCTAACTTTTAACCACTTAACCGATTCAAGTGAATTTTGGATATGTTTGTCCCCAAGATATGCTGGTTGTAAAAATATAAGTTTTGTTCGTATTATATGTAAAATCACAAAGTTATAAAAATTGTATAAAAATATAAACAGAGAAATAGAAATACAGCCTAGGAACACTCTAGACAGGGGGGTAACCCCTAGTAGAAATAAATATGAAGGAGAGGTGGAAAGAGTGCCTATGGAACAAAAAGGGAAAAACTATCACTACATACAAGCTGTACAAAAAGAGTACATATTGAATAAATAAAATGAAAATAACAAATATCTTTATTAAATATAAATACTAAGAGATCGAAAAATAAAGAATGGAGCACTAGTGAACTAATAAAATCTAAATGATATAACCTTAATAAGGAAATATTATGATGTCTCAGATAGCACAAATGGCAAACTGCACACGTCTGTGCAGAGTGGAAAAACGAAAAGGAGAGGTGATTAACGTGTGTCCGATGCTAGGTTGCTAATATTAGT